ACCAGGTTGCTCCAAGCCTCATTCAGCCTGGCCTTGGACACTTCCAGGGATGGGGCATCCACAGCTCCTCTGGGCAACCTGTCCCACTGCCTCCCCACCCTCTCCAGGAAGAATTTCTTCCTGATATCCAATCTCAATCTCCCACCTTGCGTTTAAACCCGTTACCCCTTGTCCTGGCACTCCCTGCCATGTAAGAAGTCCCCCCCAGCTTTCTTGTAGCCCCTTCAGGCACTGGAAGATGCTATAAGGTCTCCCTGGAGCCTTCTCTTCTCGAGGCTTGTCCTCCCCATCTAAAGACCTAAAACCATATAGACAGATGGGAGCAGGCCAGCAATGCCATTCTGTGGCCTACGTCTGATTAAAAGGGGATTCTGGTACCAGTGACACTGCAGTAATGGAACTGCAGAATAAAATGTCTTGCTTTCAAACCCTGTAAATGCTCCCATGCCCTGTGGAAGAGTAGGGAGCAAATGGAGCTCATAAAAAAAGGACATTTTGGTAAAGAAGCAAATGGAAGAATGTTTTCCAGCACCCCTTAGTGAAGAAAAATCAGGTCATCTGGAGAACAACTGCCTGCTCTGACTGGTCCCGCAGTACTTTCCGATACGTGATGTCCAGGACTGCGTGATGTATCTAATAAAATCTTCAAGGGCATCTGACCTCTGTCTAGTGCTGAGAGATCAAGTGACAAAGGATGCTAATGGAAACGTTGCAGGGAACGGGACCTAACTCCTGACGGATAGGAAACTACAAAACCCAGGAAAAAAAAAAGGGCCAATCTTGTCATAATCCTTTCACCTAACTCTGTAAAACAAAGAGCCCTGCCAAAGAGACATTTTTCTTCTTAATCAACTGGGAAGCAGGTCAGGACAAATACAAATGTGTTTTTGCAGTGCTCGACACTTGCAACAGGGAGCAGTTCGGAGTAGCTAGGAGGCAGATTTACACGCTGCTACCTCCTTACAACACCCCGCTTTGCAGCTTGCCCAGTAGCCCTGTGCGTTAGCCGGCTACATTATCATTATCAAATGGCATTTCCACGAACTAAACCTCGACGCTACTTACGTAAGAATTTTATGCTTTTCATTCCCAGCGGAGGCTCCAGCCCCCCAGACTAATCTGCTAATAAATTTCCCGGTACTTCCAATCCGTCATGATTCCCATGTCATTGACCATGACCTATAGCTTCCTCGTTAAATCCATAATCGCCCTACTCGAAATCAGTCACGGCAGTACCTTTAGAGCAGACTCTTTCAAAGAGAAAGGAAGAGGCAAACTGGCCTGAATCCAACTAAAATTATTTGAGGAGAGAACATAAAACACCGTGAGAAATAGCGATAAACGAGGAGAAGTAATTTTCTAATTACTATCAAGAGTTTTCAGGATCCGACGCGGACAGAATTTAAGAGGCAGGATGACATCCTTAAAGGCAGGATGACATCCTTAAACTTGCCTTGGAAATGAAGACGGAACAGAGGAACGTAGCGAACGGCACAATCACCGGCACCCATCCCTCAACTAAATACATCAGCCCGGCCGTTTTTTGGGGCATTTCCCGCAGACATCCCCCTTGCAGCCCTGAACCAGCCCGAAACAATGGGAATAAACCAGCAGGAGTGGCACCAGGCAGTACAAAGTACACGGCATTAGTGTAGCTTATCTCTATCCTGTCAGCAATATGTTTGTGACAGCTTGTTCTGGCTTTCCACCTCTGCCTACAGCTTCCCGCTTGGCAGGGGCACCCTTGGCTTTCTCGGGAGGTGGCAGGACCCACAACCTCTCCCAGACTAAAGAGTCTGGGTCTCTCTCTTGCTTCCAGCTAGGAGGGCTGAGCTGACTGCATCCTGCCCTTAGCTCCCCCCTCTCACATCCTCAGATGGGATGCTAACCTGCTTAGCAGTATTTCACTTTCCATCGTGGTATAAAGAGCCCAGGTTACTAAAGGATTAGCAAGTATAACAGTAAAGTGTTATATACACACAGAGAGTCGCCTGTCCTAGTCTCTCCTAAATCTTGGTCTTGGAGGACCTGTTAAAAGATAGGAGATGCCAAAAGGAAAGAAACCACGGACAAACAAGGCGATGAATCTGGACTGTGATGGAAGTGGCTGCGTACATGACACCGCAAGAAGGAAAAGGAGCATTCCCAGGGTGTCAAGCTCTGCTAGACAGGCAGATAAAGGGAGAAAAGGAAGGAAATAAATACGTTTTTAAACAATTCAAATACCACAACAGTCAGAATTTAATGGCCGTGGTCATGACAAAAGGGGCAAAAGGGAGAACCAGGTTATTGCAAATGAACAGGAAAGCCTGTTAGCACGCCAGCAATACCTTTTCAGATTTTTTTAAACCTCAAGTAGCCTCCCATGAAGGTAGAGAAATTAAATAAATTATCTGACCTTTTGGTTTTTAGCAAAGGTCACATAACCAAAACTTGTTTTACACTTATCTCCAAATACATTCCTTTTGCTATTTTTTTAATTGCTTTGTCCACTGCTGAATACCACTGTAACCCCTGGGTTTTGCTCAAACTTCTCTCCCTGGCAGGTTTTCTAACCTATGGCAAAAGGTAAAATAAATAATCTGTTCCAGTAAAAAGCCAGGCTACTCCTAAATTAACTTCTGTAACACACAGCTAGCATGGCAGAATTGCTTTTATTCCCATCACCTCTTCTCACCACTTTTCTGTCATTTAGCTGTTGTAAGGGCACGAATAAATCCTCTTGCATCTGCCTAGTGTCCCTGTCATGTTACGACCCGATGGCGTACCCACAGTTTACACCAGGATCTCATTCAAGGATGCTCTGTTGCTGTTTCTTCTGTCATCTGCAAAGGCAGTATGGGTGCCTTGGCACCTGTGTGCAGGATCTGGTAGGCCAGAGTGGGGAAAGAAAGTGATTTTCCCAAAGATACTGTTTTCTCAGAGGATGTCCTGACGTACACCAGTGTCTGAACCGAAAAACCGCGCTGGCACCGGTCACCCTCCTTGTCCCTGCGCCCAGCAACCCTGTCACACAACTCCCACACTGGGCCTGGGCATCCTGTCGCCTTCTTGCTAAACCAGCGTGCTCCAGGCATCTACCGCAGCCTCCACGGGCCGAGCACTCCAGTTTCTGTGCATTAAGTACACATTAGCAATAGCTTGCTTTTACAAGCCTTTCTCCTTGGGAAAGGTAAATGCTATCTCTTTGAGGTTGGTAATGATCAACACAACTGCATATTTGCCACCCAGCTCACCTAAGTGCCCAGAGAAGAAGTTGTAACGCTGTGTATTCAACAAGTTTTTCCACTTTCATGATACCCTAGAGCAAACGGCAGTTTGCTAATGTTTACTGCCTTCAGTTTGGGTGATTTTTTTTTTTCCTTTAGCTGTAGCCTCCTTTGAGATTCATGAGTGTAAGCACACTATAAATGCAGATCAGAGAGTTTCACAATTACTCTGCATCTGGACCAAGATTTCACTCAGCGTGTTTTCCAAAAGGCAGCCAGTCTTGAATTGAAAACGCCAAAGGGAAAGATTTTACTCATGTTTTATGGACCTACGCCTGTGATACCCCTCCCTCCCCACTGCAAGTGTTTTTCTACTTTATTTTAATTTCTCTGGCTCACTGGGACTCCGTCCCAGGGAAAACAAAAATATTTGTGAGACCTTGACCTGTACCAACAACCACTGACAGACAGAGACATGCTCCTGTGCCCAAAAAATGTTCCAAGTCCTCTGCCTTTTACTGAGAAGGCAGCAAGTCCATGTCCATTTTTTTTTCAGCAGTTTCAGGCCCTGAGCGGGCAGAGCCCGGCACGTCGTTCCAGCGCCCCGAGCAGCAACCCCAGCACAGCGCCTGCGCCCCTCGCCCGAGCAGAGGCTAGCAAGAAAACACATATTTAGTCCTGTGGTTCACTGCAGATTATTTTTCAGCCCGCAGTCTATTGTTTAGTCCCTCTAGCTAAAAGCGATTCAGCAAAAAGAACCGGCATCTCCCTGCCGTAGGTATTTAGCATCTCATGCGACACTGGTGACTTACTCAAAAATGTATCAGACCCACAGTTACAGAAATTTGTTCTTTTGAGGGCTGAATTCTTATAAACAGAGCTTTGAACTTCCCATCTACACTTCTGAAAAATGATAGATCGGTGCTACGGCCCCCACTTCACCCATCCTGCCCCACCTCTGGCAGCTTTTGCCCTAAACAAAGCAAGGGTTTTCCATGGCTACAAACCGCATGATAGACCTAACCAGACTTCAGTCACAACAGTTCCAGTCCTTACTGCTTAGATCAGCTTGTGCTTCTCTCTTCTGTATGTTTAGATATTGTGCTGATATCCACACCAAACTCCCCACAGCACTGGGACACATTCATGTCTCAGAAGTACTCGTTTGCTTGGACAGGGGGAAGAATAAACCCACTTCTATTTCCCACTCACTCCTGTTAAATAATACCAACAGTACCAACAAAAAACAAATAATACTGGTAATACTAATACACTAATATAACTGGAAAGTGACAGCGTACAGGCTTGATGTCCTGAGCTGGACCAGAATGGCAGGCAGGGCTTATTCTTGCATGCTAATCCATTTTGGACAGCGTGAAGAGTCCTGGAAAACTCGTGGCATGCAGGGCTCTCCGAAACCAAAAGGACCAGGGCTCTTTCACACAAGCAGGGCTCCCCCATGGTTTAGCTGGTTCCCCAGCGAAACTCATGCGCTCTCCAAACGGCCTCTCTGGGGGAACAATTTTAGACCAAGGTCTGTAGTAGGCCGAAGCTCTGCACGAGACATTTTGGAGACTTCAGGAGGTCAGCCCCCTACCATGTCTGGGAAAAAAACCTCTGCTTCCTCCAAATTAAACGTTTTTACAACGGGGTAAACTGGGCTGGGGAAATATTTGGCTCTGACAGGTCTGGGAATAGGCGAGCAGACCGGCAGCGAGGTTGGGAAGTGGAAGTCCCCGCAGAGGCCTGCCAGCGAGGGGCAAGCATCTGTCGCGTGAAATAAGTCCATACCTGACCCCTAAGTTTCCAAACTTTTGTTTTTGTGGTGTGTCTGGGGACAAAATACATGGCTCTACCATCATTCCCGAAGCCGTCAGGGTTGGACTACAAAAAGGGAGGAAAAACGTGGAAACGAAATTCTGAAGGAAACTAAATTCCAGTCATGGCTGTGAGTCAGATCAAGCAGCTACAGAGTGAAGGCAGGTCCTTTTCTTTCCTTTCTTTCTCCCCTTCAATGCCAGACTTGTTTAACAAGACCCTCCTTGGAGAATTCTCTTTTATAATTAACAAATGAAAAGGAAACATGCTTCTGTGCATTAAAAAAAAAAATACCACAGCTGCCTTATGCATGCCATTTCCATTTTTAAGACTGGGAAAAGGCTTAAACACAGTCTTACTTTTCAGCCTTGTTTCATTTGGGAAGGAGCGAGTGTCTTAAATGATTGAGGGACTTCTGCATTCATATTAAATGATAAACACTAACAAAATAACAGCTAGAAACAGTCTCCAGCATGCGGGCTGGGGCAACCCTATCACAACAAACACAGCGGGTGGCAGCTGATCTCGCAAGGTCTAAAAGGGCTATCTTGATTCTCAGCGTGTGCTAACTGCATATGCTTAAAATTAAAATTAAAAAAATTAAAGAAGAGATCTCAATGCCTTATGTAGGCTCAAACAGCTCTTCCCTGCTACATGTCTATTTAAAAAAACCTGGCAGGTTGAGTCTGCTCTCACGCAAGAGGGAAGGCGAGGAAGGTGGATAATCCCTCCAGTTCTCTTGGCACCAGAACAAACCTGCAGACGCCAGCCACCACCACGCGTGGGCAGGAAGACGACTCCCAACCATTAGGACATCCAAACTCTGGGAGCCACTGCTTTCCAAGTGTAAAAAGATTTGCCTGCTTCAAAGATGAGGTTTGGCAAGTTGGGAGAAAAAAACAAATGAAGGAGGAGGTGGTGAGGGGTTGAATGACCCTGCAGGTCCCTTACGAAATAAATCTGGGCTTGGACACTCCTGCCTTGCACCCCATTACTTCCAGGATGACTGTCCTGAAAGTGGTCACTGGGAATAGAGACCCAGGAGAGGAAAGGCTCGATGGTGCTTGGTTTGGCTGGGTGTGATGCATGGAGGTGGCAGAGAAGTCTCATCCCTACCCCACCACAGAGTACACCAAGCATGCAAACCTGGCCCCTGCAAAAGCTTCTCCCTCATTTTCCGGCACTTGCAGTGCCAACGCAAACCCCCAGGCTGCAAGGCTGAGACTCGTTGAGCGAGAAGTACACAGGGAAAATCGGACCGAGACTCCAGCGTGGCAGGACAGCTTGGAAACAACCACATACAGCCGTCCCCTGCGCAGGCACCTTCCTACAAACCGCAACCTGAGAGCTGCGGAGTTATCCCCAAGGAAGAGAAATTCAGAGAAGGAAAGAAGGAAAGGAAAATTAAGTATGCAGGCATTAAAGGACAGAGACGTAAGTCTTCCCCTGCACAGACATATTGTGACTGTCAACCCAGCCCAGTCGCTATATCCTCTTCTGCATCCCTTCTGCATCCCTGCAGCCACAGCGGCAAAGGCTGGTCTCTGTCCCAAGGGTCCCTGCAGACCAGGGCTGTCCAAACCACTCTGACACAGTGCCAGGAGCTGGGAGGAGGCCTGGGACACGTTCCTCTGGACCCTGAGACAAGCTGGAGCTGCTCTGGCAGCAGGGATCCCAAAGCGATCCCTGGCAAGGCACCAAGCCTGCCTCCAGCCCAACGCTCTGGTAGACCCAGGGGGTTCATCTGCGTGGATAAATGCTGGTAGCTCAACCCAAAACAAATAAATTAAAATTAACATTCCTTCAGGGCTGACTCAGAGCAGAAATGCAGTCTTTTTACTGGCCTGCACTTCCCTTCCCCCATGTGCCCGCCTGCCTCGCCGGCAGAACGACGCATGGCAGTTGACCCAGACCAGGCTCCCGCACCGCCCCAAGCCCGGCTCTGCGCAGTGCTCCGCATCCCTGCGGCTACACAGACGGTTCAAAGGGCTCCGGTTCGGCAGGCAACTCAGAGCAAAACACTGGAACACCTCACTTGGAAAACCTCACCGAGCTGTGCCCGTGTGGATTCCTCTGCTTCCTCTTCATCTATTTTGCTGCATCAGTGCATTGATTTCGGCTGACAACAGTGTATTTCTGGGCACTAAACTATTTCCTGGCCCAGTTTCTAGTAAATGTGTCACTTGTAATAAGAGCACATTTTTCTCTGACTTGGTTTGGATCAGTGGCATCCGTTATGCCTCACCACGGAAGAAAGTAAAGATTTTGGGGTTTGGTCCTCCTACACTGTGGGTGCAGAAAGGAGAGAGAAAGGGAGCCTGGCTCTTCGAGACAATAATATTTATCTGAGCTGGAAGTCTTGGCAACTACAAGTTTTCACCAGCTGATGCTGACAAATAGTCTCAGCCCCCTTCCCAAGGGACCTCGTACAGGACAGCATCATACAGGCGGCACTCGGCAACCCCGGCCATCGCTGCAGCGGCCGCGAGAAGGGCTGAAGGGGAATTAACGGAGTCACTCTCTCACTCCAGGTCGGGTCAGCCCGGGTCATGGCTGAGGTGGTGCCGCGAGACCTGCACTCATCAACCCGTGTGCCAACAGGGCTGCCGAGTTGGTGTTTGCTCCCAGTTGTAAATTCACACGTAGAAGATGCACACTTTGCTTTGTCACATGATTGTCTTTCTGTGACCATACCTGTATCAAGAAAAAATAGCAGTAGCATAGATTACTGCAACTTACTGGGCCAGGAGGGGAGGGAACAACCCTTGCTTAGGGCATAAGCCGGGCAGAAAGCATTTATCTCTACAGCTGGGAAATACAGCTCAGCAACTCCAAGCCAAACATAAATGCTGCAGGCAAAGCTGCTCTGCTGCCTGTCAAATAACAAACATATTTGTATCCTGTCCTCTTTATCTGCACAGGTCCGGTGGGAAATAACAGAGCAAGGAGGCCAAACACTGCCAAAATACGTGGTGAAACTGCACAGAAGCTAGGAGAGATTGCACTTCGCTCTTACTGCCAGAGAAGTGCTTAGGTCTGGTCCAAAGCTATGGGGCATTCATGGAAAATTCCCTGCAATTTCAGAGCACTTTGGAAAAGTTGCCTATTAGTTGGTGGATAGTGGTTTTGTCACTTGCCATCCTGAACTCGGACAGCAAAACTCGACAGCTATAACAATCATTTCATTTCTTGCTCCCCCAACTCCCCCATCCCATATTTTTTCTTGATGAAACAACCTTTTTATGGGACAGAGCAGCTTTTGGTGATCCCACGTCCTGCGTGACCTCTTCACAGCCAGATGTGCATTGAACATCCATTCCCTTTGCCTGGGGTTCCCTGTGGTACCCCTAAAGCATTCAGTACTGTTTTTGGCTGACGTGGTTGGTAAGGCTACCACTCCCTATATGGGTGTGCTGACTATATCTGTATTGCCTACTAAGTGAAAAAGAAACATATGAAAAAGCTATTCCTCATCTAAAAAATTCCCAAGGCCCAACTTCCAGGGGTGAGTTAAACAAAGGTATCTCAAGAGGGGAACTACACATCTGAACACGTTCCTGCTTCGGTCAACCGCAGGAGTCAACTGAAGCTATTTACTACCTCCGCGTTCTGACAACAGTCATTAGCAGGGAGCGAGAAGGGGACAGACATGGCTGCAGAAGCATCTCATGCGACACTGGTGACTTGCTCAAAGATGTATCAGACCCACAGTTACAGAATTTTGTTCTTTTGGGTGTTGTATTCTTATAAATAGAGCTTTGTGCATCCCATCTACACTTCTGAAAAATATTTGCAGTCAGGGTAGTATGAGACCGCATTTGTACTGGTGCCAGCTTGTGAATCTGCACTGAGGAACACTTCCATTACTCTAGTGCCAGTTTTTCTTGCCACAAGACTCCACAGACTCATAGAATCCCAAAGTGGTTTGGGTTGGAAGGGACCTTAAAGCCCACCCAGTTCCAACCCCCCTGCCATGGGCAGGGACATCTTCCACTAGACCAGGTT